CCACATTAGGGATTCTGGTTTTATGCATGGTTTAAAAACCACAATTGATGCCATGTGCTTTTTTAATATTAGCCTATCATAAAACTCCTCCTTGCAAAGATGCTATATATCACATGCTTATGTCACCAAGAGAAATATGCCTCAGTATTCAAGGTGTGTCCTGGACATACCCACCTTGACTTCATGCTCATAGACATAGCCCATAGAGACTTCTTGGCTATTGTTAAGTCTTCCTTATATCCACTGATGTACAACTTTGGTCTCAGGTATTCAGAAATATATACTTTGGGTGATGGTTATGGTGGTGATTGCATTAGAATTTTGAATGACCCTTTTTCACTGATATCAGTCATACAACTATCTCAGAGAGCAAAACCAAAGTGGTTTTATAGAATTACATTCTTTAGACCAGGGGTGTCAAACTGCCAGCCTGCGGGCCGGATGCATCATCCGGAAGCCGCGCCCACCCCATTGCCGGCAATGGCAAAACCGTCCCGATATGTTGCACGACGTCATGAGCCATCGTGAGTTTGACATGTCTGGTTTAGACGATAATACAAACAATAGTCCTGATGCTTTGCTGCAAATGTCTACCTGTCAAAAGGATTTAGCTGACAGTATCATTTAAACTGACAGTAACAGTTCAGTGCTCAATTGCTAAACTTAATTTGTGTATTAAAATTTTCAGGTGTCTGTACAAAAAAGGTATTACTCCAGGGTCATGGCTGGGCTAAATTTTTCATACATATCTACATACATACATACATACATACATACATACATACATACATACACACACACACACACATACATATACATATACACATACATCATCATTCATTGGCATTCTTCAGTCTCGAGAGACTATGGTATCGTGCTCTGGAAAAAGGTCCTAAAGCAGCATCTGGTGTGGCTAAAAAGGCCAATTCAAGAGTGGAAGTCCCTTCCACACTGAAGGCAGATACAATCTGTCCCCTGTCCAGCCCCCAGATTTCGCTGGTTCTGGGACTGCCTCTTTGCCTCAGCCTTCCACACAAGTGTCTCTTCGAATTGGAGAAGGCCATGCTGCGTCTTTAGCCTCCAGGCTGAACGATCAGAGGTCAAGGATTCCGAGCTGTTAATGTCCATTCCCAAGGCCTTTAGGTCTCTCTTGCAGGTATCCTTATATCACAGCTCAGGTCTCCCTCCGGGGCGCTTTCCCTGCATTAGTTCTCCGTACAGGAGATCTTTCGGAATCCATCAGCCATTCTCACGACATGCCCAAGCCAGTGTAGACGTTGCTGTTTCAACAGTGTATACATGCTAGAAATTCCAGCACATTCCAGGACTGCGCTATTTGGGACTTTGTCATGCCATGTGATGCCAAGAATACGTCAGAGACAACGCATATGAAAGGTGTTCAGCTTTCTCTCCTGCCATACGTGAAGGGTCCAAGACTCACCGCAGTACAAGAACTATGCATGTTGATTTCAACCAATACTGATTCAGTAAATTGTCAGTCTTGTAAATGCAATGTAGCTATAACATAGGGCTTGAAATCTATTATTTTCTATTGCTATTAAATGGGCAAAAAAATTTGGAAGATCAAAGTGCTGATGTAAGAAATGCTTGATAACTTTTTACATATCTTGAAAACAAATCGAAAACAGAATAAGCAGTTTTGGACGGAAGACCTGACCAGAATTGGGATTGTAGCATATAAGGGTTTTCAAATTATAGCAAACTGCCTCAAATGCTTTCTTTTAAATAAAAGTCAGGATATAATTGCATTTGGAAATAAAATTTAAAAAATGACCATTGCTCTTTTTTATAAACAAAACTCCATAGCTTTTGCCCGGAAACATTTGCAAACCATTTATTCCTGAGATTTGACACTAATATATAACTGTAAGCGGTGATTACTTGACAGTGAACAATATTGCAATTGCTGTAACTCTGAGGAGCAGTCATAAATCTCATTTTTCAGTATTGTCGTAACTTTAAACAGTCACTGAATGAGTGGTCAATAAGTGAGGACTATCTGCATTCCTTTTTGGAATGGCTGTCCGTAGTGGAAACTGGTGGAAAGACCGGTGGACTAATAAAAAGGGAGGTATCAAAGATCATTTCCAAAATTATTAATTTTGGTATCATCAATTTACTGTCAAAAAGATTCTGTTTTCATTAAGGCATAGAGTGTTTTTATATGGCTACATTTGGCAGTTATACAAGTAGTCACCATTGCCAATGTTGTGCACATTCAGCCATGAAATGTTGTCTTTCTAGCATACGCCTATAAAAACTGTAGCAGATCCAAGTTTTGATGCCGCAGTTTCATTTGATTTCCTAACAATTGTTCCAATGCAGGTTGGACCATCGCATATGAAAAAAAAAAGCAATGTACCTATTTGGGCTAATTCTGGCATTTCAGCTGAAATTATTTACCATCTTATGCCCTTGTAAGGTTCCTTTACATCCTTGAAATACATTAGCCTGAAGTTGACAATGAGCAGTATGTTTTTTATTTATCCCCTACCAAGACTTTAAATTTTTACTTTTACTTTATGTTTACTTTTATTTTTCCCAAAGAGTCTTGATTTTATATTGCATTTTTGGCATCTGTCACCAGTTGTTTCAGACATCTGGAAGGGGCATGAGATGCTCCATTCAAGGTCCCAGCTCTTCCTACCTAAGAACAAAGGAAAGTATGAAGGGGTCCAACCTTGCAGTATTCTTTTGTGAAGTTGCAGAAAAGTTCACAGTTGGGTCTTTTCCAAAATTAACTAACAGAATAAATAACTGGTATCATTTTTCAATGAAATTATATCTGTATTGAAATTATAAGCTAATTGTCTTCTGCATTTACAGCTAGACCTTACAACAATTCATTTAGTAACTGTTTGACGTTACAATGGTACTGAAAAAAGTGACGGCAACATCTCCATGGCCGTGTAATCAAAATTCAAACACCTGGCAACTGACTCATATTTATGATGGTTGCAGTGTCCCTTTTGTGACCTTCTCAAAAACAAAGTCAATGGAAAAGCCAGATTTCTTAATAACTATGTTACTATCTTAACAACTTAAATTATTCACTTAGCAGCTGTGGCAAGAAAGGTTGTAAAATGGAGCAAAATTCACTTAACAATTGTCTGCTTAGCAACAGAATTTCTGGGCTCAATTGTGGTCATAAGCTGAGGACTACCTTTAATGATTCACACAGCTATGGGTCTACGTGTATACATTCCACATCTATAATAAGAAATGTATGCATATTTATTTATTTTATTTTATTAAACTTGTTCGTTGCCCATCTCATCACAAGGCGAGTCTGGGTGGCTTTCAGTGTTTAAAAGAATAAGACTATACAATATCTATCTCTATCTATCTATCTATCTATCTATCTATCTATCTATCTATCTATCAATATATATATAGAGAGAGAGAGAGAGAGAGAGAGATAGATAGATAGATAGATAGATAGATAGATAGATATCTAGAAAGAGAGACACACAGAGAGAAACACAGAGAGAGAGACAGACAGAGACAGAGGCAGAGAGAAAGAGACAGAGACAGACAGAGAGAGAGAAGAGAGAGAGAGAGAGAGAGAGAGAGAGGCAAAGGAAAGCTCAGGACTGTATTGGTTGGAAACATGTAAAAGAGGCCTTCATCCTGCAGTGGATAGACAATGGCTAAAATGATGATGATACACACACACACACACACACACACACACACACACACACACATGATAGTTTGTATATATAGACACACACACACACACATACATACATACATACATACATACATACATGCATATATATTTTATGGAAATTTTGCAACATATATATATATATATATATATATATATATATATATATATATACATATAATTTGGCGATGAAGACACGGGGACAGCCCAGGATAAGTGGGGTGAGGGGAGAAGATCAGGAGCAACCTGATAGCCCCCCAGGGGAATAACAATGACGGGGCAGGGGAGCAACCTTGGAAGTTACAGATGCATTGACAAGCATAGCCCCTTTAAGAAAAGCATGGCCAGTACTAATCAGTGGACCAATGATCCGTTCAAGGGTTAGAGCGCAGAGGCGGTCAGTTATATAAACTAACTCCCGGATCTGGTGTTTTTACACTCTGACGATGTCGATAGTTTGGCCGACGAAAGCTTAGTACTTTTTGTAGATTAAACAGCTTTGATTTAAGATTTTTATCCTGGTGTTTGGATACTTTTATTACTGCCACGATATGTGTATACTCGGGATTCCACTTGCATCGTGACACTTCCCCATTGGAGCCTCAGGACAATATATAATGACTTTACTATTCAATACAATATCAGGTGACTCTCCTAATCAGTGGGGAAATTAGGTCACATAAGAGTAGTATATATATTTCAAGAAATTCAGTGTTTTGGACTGGAGCCTAATTATAACATTTCTAACTTTTTATATCTATAGGACATAGGGACATTTTTAAACTGAAAAAGATCAAACACCAGCTATCAATTTTTCTAATAGTTATTATCACTTGTATTTATTCATATTTGTCATAACCACAACCGTGATATGATGCAATTCTTTTGTACAGTTTTTATTTTTGTTAGATGCCTTGAACAGGCAGGATATAAAAGAAGTAAAAGAATAAATAGCAGTGTGTGGAGAAAGGGATCTCTAGTTCAGCTTCTATGCAAATAGCTTCTAAATTTTAGGAACTATTTGTGTTACAACATGCTTTGAAATAAATTCTCTCCGTTCCAAGGATTTTTTTTTCATAAAGCAGCTGGCACTTGAAACAATTAATATTAAGCTGCAAAAATGTCAAGCACCCAAATTTAGCTTCTCTTATAGGGGTGCTCATCTGGCTCATATCACTGATCAAGTTGGATACTTGGCGCATATTGGTCATAAATAGTTGCTAAAGTGTCCTTCCCTTCTCAGATGTCTAACAGCCTTTGTGAAGTTGGATTCCACAAGTGCAAATAATTCTTCTGACTTCCCAAAGAACTACTCAGGTTGGCAAATGTCTGTCTGGACATTGTGAAACTTTCTCCGGAATATTAAAAATGAAATAGGTGTTTTTCATAACTTCTCAGATTGTCTCTCCAAGTCATGGCATCGTCTTTTACTAGATTGAACTTGATCTGTTACACTGGGTGTCTGTCTTTGAGAAAGCTTCTGGAGGCAGCTCTTTTCATTTAGCTTCTGTTCCTGGATGTAAATAGATATAATGGCTACCATCGGCAGAAAGAAGGCTTCTTTATCAGTAGTAAAATCCTTGGCCAAAATGTTTGATCCTAATGCTTTACAGAATCAGCATGTCTCACGAAGAGGGGCCTTTTTCTACTCTCTTTATTAAGGACAAATTTCTCCTCTCCTGAAAATAAATGTGTGTTGGATCTGAAGGCGGCTTCCGTCAGTCAGGAAATTTGTGCGTTGCTGACAATGTTCTGCAGAGGTTAGATTAGAAATCTGATCTATGGAAAGAAATATCGAACTCTTGAAGAAATATGGAAGAAACTGGCAAGACATCACTTGCTGCCCCGTCAAAAACTTTAATGAGCTCTGATAGGAAGCTGGTATGCGCAGACATTAAAAAGAAGTTTTCTGAAATGCCGAAGAATGCAGAACAACATAAACAAAGATTAGAAGGAGTTGAACAAGTGATCCTAGAAGTTCAGCAACATGTTGGTTCTTTGGAAGGGGAGTTAAAGACTTCTACAGTCACTGATCCCATATGCAGGAAAGAAGCCCCTTGTAAGCTCCTTAGAGTTGGTGGCAATTTGAAAAAAGATAGGCTAGAAAGTTGTTTCAGAATGCAGATGTTCTCAGAAAAAAAGGAAACATTGTTCAGCAAATGGAGTGAAAAGGTAAGTCCAGGGTTACATTGCTCCTAGGGCCCTATTGTGTTTGTATCTTGTGAACGTTGCTTGCTTGTTAACGATAGGAAATAATCTAACTTTACTTTTGAGAGTATTTTGAGAGTACGTAAAATTAGAAGCAGAACTAATAGTGCAAACAAACAAGGTGTTAAATATTCAGTTAGCTGCTGTTCATTCTAGAAGCCTTAATTAAAGAAAAAAATCCTTTTCCCATTGCCTTTGGCAACAAAACTCTTTTAAATTCAGTGTGGGGTAATTAGTCAAATTCTAACCAAATGCTACTTTTCAAGCTCTTGGAATATTACTGTATAGGATTTTTACTCCAAACTGAAAATAATGTAAACTGATCTCATTCCAGATTTTATGCCAAATTCTCAAAACTTACAAGCAAATAAAAGACGCCAGTATTTCATTTAAAAATGAAATAATTGAGTTTTTATGTATTATATTTTATTGAATGCTTGTAATCATCAAAACTGTCACTTTCTTTTTCCAGTCCCTTTGTATTTCTAATTTGCTTATAAGTTACACGGTTTGTAAAAGAATGACACCCTATATAGGTAGTCCTTGACTTACAACAGTTTATTTAGTGACCATTCAAAGTTACAACAGCACTGAAAAAAGTGACTTATGACCATTTTCCCCATTTACAACTGTTGCATCATCCTTTTGGTCATGTGATCAAAATTTGGATGCTTTACAACTTGTTCATATTTATGACAGTTGCAGTATCCCGGAGTCATGTGATCATCTTTTGTGATCTTCTGCCAAGCAAACGCAATGGGGAAGCCAGATTCACTTAACAACCGTATTACTAACTCAAGAACTGCAGTGATTCATTTAACTGTGGCAAGAAAGGTCATAAAATGAGGAACTAGAGGAAGAGAGAACATGTGAACCTAATGTTTGAACTGCTTATACTTAACCTAACGCTAGACTATGATACAGTTTTAGTCGTGAATTAGGCCATGAGGTAGTGAATGTATTTCTCTAATCACATCCCATTATTGTTTAGGTTCTACAAAGACCTAGAAACGTTCACATGATATGAGATTTAAAATGAAACAAAATTAGTGAACTTGAAAGAAATCTCCATCACTCCACACTCCCCCCCCAAATTGGATTTCCCATGTTTAGTATGTAGACCATTCTTACTTCAATCAATTCTGGCACAAAAATGCAACGGTAATATTTATTTTCTGGTCATCTTGTCTCCACCATTTAATTTATTTAACATGAGAATCTATTACAAACTATTCACTATTTCTTACCAATGGAGTCAAATGACCTTGGTGTGATTTAAATACATTTATTTCTTTTAAAAAAACATATAGCCATTCATCTTAAACACATAATTCTGGGCAATGAACAATAGATACAAGATATCTTTCTTGCTCCTGGTATATGAGTAAACCTGATCTCTAATTGGGGAAAAATAAATATGGCAGTGTTGCATAGCTTTTATGGACAACAGGCGTCCTTGCTCATTCTCATAAAATAGCTATCCTCATTATTTTTCCTCATTATTCCCCCCCCCTCCCATGGCTTGAAATCTTGTAACATTGTAGTAATCTCATGATAGCACATTCTTATCTGAAACCAAAAAGTGTGTATGGAAGAACACCAACAATTAGTGGGATTTGGCAGAGTTTGTAATCATTTTTTAAAAGTATTTAAGAAGTTGTTAGGGATCAACAGAACTCTACACAGATATCTCTAGAATCGTGACACCCAAGGGCAATACATTAGCAAACTTTAACATACAGTATAAGAAATTCACCCTTAATATGTTTGAAGATCCTATTGGTCTTTTGTTGAGTATAAAGACCTGGCTCTTTTTCTGATCATTAGGCCAAAGTCTCGTTTGAGCACATTCTGTGATACATGTGCATATTTTTACAACCAGCCTCAATTATGTTTTGGGTTTGAGGGCTTTTTTTTTTTTACATTGTATTTATTCTTTTTTTGTTTGTTTTTTTACACTGCCTTGAGTCACAGTTGTGAGAGGGTCATCTTTATAAATCTTTTAAATTAAAAAATATAAATAAATCATTTTCTAGCTATTTTCTTCTTATATGGCAATTAAAGGTAAGGATTTTCTCCATTAGGGCTGAAATTTTGTTTGTAGCCAAAATCTAAAAACTGGAGGGGGGGGGATAAAATAGAAAAGATTTTGGAATTTCTTTTCACTGAGTAATGGGTGTATAGAAGGAATGGCAGAATCTGGGGGCAGAGTCAAAAGAGGAATCACCCTAGAGTCTTTACGTAGTCACAAACAAGTCCAACTTTTCTTGAATTCCAAACCCCACCAATGTTTTCACTTTTATTCCAAGTCCTCATCTGTTTACTTTGAAGTAAATCAAAAGTAATTGGGGGGGCTGTATACTATGTGTTCAATTCAAATTTCTTTTTTTTGTTGACAAAGAGTTAAATGGGAGACTAGAATAGCTATTTCAAGCTTATTTTGCTCTCATCAGCTAGCCATACCCTCTATGGGATCCAAATCCAATAGAGGGTGTGGCTAGCTGATGAGAGCAAAATAAGCTTGAAATAGCTATTCTAGTCTCTCATTTAACTCTTTACAACAACAACAAAAGAAATTTGAATTTGTAATGTATTGCACTAGTGACTTGAGCCTGATTAACGCTCCTAGTTTGGGGGGCTGCAAGGCAAAAGTGATTATAAGTAGAACTGCAGTACAGCAGTCAAAATACCAAGGTGCATCAATCAGACCGGTCTGTCCGGAAAAAACTTTCTATGTGTTCAATATAATTTATTTGGCCCTCCAGATCTGCCGAATGGTTGATCTTTCCTATTCTCCATTTCTTTTTCCTTTCCACCATCCAGTAACCTATTGCACATATTCTTGGTACCCATTTTAAGTGGTATCATTGAGAAAACCTAGTCTTTCTAACTTTTCTGAGAAGATAGATGTAGTGAGTTGTAGTGAAACCCCTTCAGTTTATATCAATAGGATGCCATTGATATAAACTGAAGGGTCATCCTAAGATTTAGTCTGTGAATCTGCATAAGAATACCGTCTCTGCATTTTTTGCATTTCTCTGAATGACATGTAAGAATGTATCTCCCTTCCATACTTCTTACAAAACTAATGTACTTGAATTTATTTTTGGATAGGTAGAATATGATTAAGATCTTTGGGTTTAGGTTGCTCTTGTCCTTTGAAATCATTATCAGCTAAGTTAACAGGTGATGTTTATGTAAGCTAGCCAAAATATATATTTAGTTTAGGGACGATCTGTTCTTGCATATAATATATTTATCTTTTCATAGCGTCAGTCTAGATTTCTTTAAATGAACAGCTGGTAGGACCAGCAGATTTTAGCTATGTTCTCCCTACCCTGATTTAGTTTTACCCTGTTCTTCTCTTAATCAGGGCCATTTATATATAATCATTTTTAGCCAATGGTTTATGCTTGTGATTGAAAGCACAATTACTTTAGAATATGATTTTTTAAAATCATGACATGGATTTTTCTAGCTTTCTTTTTAATTTGGAGTAAGACATTAAGAATTTTAATGTACATGCTTTCAAAAACACGTACATTACTTCTTACTTCTAAAGTATTAAGAAAATAATGATGTATTAATACCACAGCTTGAGCCAGTAAATTCAAGGCAAAATAAGCTTTAATCTTTGCAAGTATGGAAGACTCATATCCACTGCCAGTTCTCCTGGCTCCTTTGACGCCAAGACTGGCAAATATCAAGGACAAAATGTCCGCTCAAATTATGAAGTCCTAAATAAGGATAATACAATTATGATTTGGATATTATTGAGAGAACTGAGCAATTTTCTATGCTAGATTTCCAGGGAAACCAGGATGTTTTCTGTCTCTGTGGGATCAGGCCCAAAACTGTGCTAGAAGAGATAAGAAAGTGCTGATGGTTGAAAGTGTAAGTTGTCCAGGCCCAGGCGGTCCCCCTAAATTTGAGTAGTGTTTAAACCTCAGATGAACCTTTGTAGGGTTGGAGTAATATTGCATTTGTCCCAGCATCTAGTTAAATTTTAGGAACACTGAGCACTGTGAACAGGCACAGTTGTTAGGCGATACATTCTATGCTGAATTCCCCACAGGAAAATTCAGTTTTCTTCAACTGTGGTGAATTATTTCCATGCTTTCTAGTCACTAACTATCGGCCAATGCTATTCTAAGCCATTTCTGAGAAATGAGACTGATTCATTTCCCATTCATTTCCAAATATGCAAAAGTGGAAGACCACATGATAAATGGTTTCTCTAAGTCAGGGGTCCCCAACCCCCAGTCCGCGGACAAGTACTGGGCTGCAGCATGACAGCAACTGGTCCACACAAACAAGCAAAGCCCCATCCATGGGATGCAGGCAACACACAAAACCACGCCCACTCTGGTCCACGGAAAAACTTCTCTCCATAGAACTGGTCTCTGGTACCCAAAAGGCCAGGTACCTTTGCTCTAAGTGCTTAGCTTGATCCAACATCACACAACAAAAGTGAATGGGATATTCTAGGATGGGTGATAGTTGCCTTCCTCTGGTTTTCTGGTACAAAAACCTTAGTAGAACTTCTTTCAAATTATATAGATCTTACTGCAGGACAACTCTCATCTTTTTTGATACTGCCATACTGACTAGAATGGGTGAAGTTGGAGTTAGTGAAGTAAAGCAGGGGTCCCCAGTCCCTGGGCCATGCCCCACTACTGGACCATGGTCTCTTTGGAATTGGGCCACATGAGTGGCTGGCCAGAGTGCTCATGCATACATGCAGCTTGGTTTGCATGAGCAGCGGGTTGGAGGGCAATTGCACCAACCCACTGCTCACATGGGTCATGTTGCATGCGTGCATGTGTGTTGACCTGCCACTCAACTAAGGGCTGTGCACATGCACACTATGAACACTAGCCTGCCACTCACGTGGCCCAGTTCTCCTTCCAGATGGGTGCCAAGCCACAAAGGATGGTGACCTCTGAGTAGACTCATTAGTTGTT